TGATGTTCGCTTCACTCTGCGATTGGCGTCGCTCGCACTGTTTGACGAGGACTTGGAGCTGGCTGGTGATGCTGATCCAGGCGTTGGTCTCGAGCTGCTTGGTGCCTGCTTGGATGTACATGGGGTCGGGCTGGCGTATCATCTGCTCGAGCCGATAGCGTAGCGGCTGTCCTCTACGGCGCTCGTCGCTGATCGGCATGGCATCCGTCAGGTTGAGTAGAGAGGCCTCCGCGGCCATGGCCCATCTGCCGTACGACTCCGCAAGGTCCCTAGCAGCGGCTGGGTCGAGTGCGTAGGCTATGCACTGCTGCGTCTCTGAACTGGCCTCCAGGATTGGGATGTCCTGGGCCTGATGCTTGTAGTTCTCCCAAGCTTCATGGTCGACGATGTACGGTATCTTTTTGACGTAGTGGTCTTGTAGCAGGTGGTCGTGCGCATCGCCGCCATGTTCCAATACCTCGCCATCTTCAGTATGGTGGAGCTGCGCATGGCGGTGACGATCATTCTGCTTCCTCTTGAGCCCTTTCTCAATGTGGATCTCGTGGTCTGGGATCTCAATGGGGGCTGGGAGGAGAGGACGAGTGCACAGAACAGCAGCGGGCCTCGAGTGCATGCGGATCTCGATGCCCACGTGCGGCTGCCACGGAACGTTATAGACAGGCTCGGCGGACTTGACGAGCGGCAGGGACGTTGGCGAACACAGACCCCAATCTATCATACGCCCTGAGCTTCCCGCGCAGGTGAACTCGCAGTTGGGTTGAAGATACTCAGCCGCAAAAGCTTCGTGCCAACACGAGGCCCTGAACTGCTCTGGAGTGTTGTTGAAGTCGCCGTAGACCATCCACGGCGTGCCCAGCGTGCGCACGAGCGTGAGCAGCTGGTTGAGCTTGGGGATGTTGGTAGGGAGATCCAGCCCTTTGGGGTCCGAGGTGAGGTAGATAGTGAGGAAGGCGACCGTAACGTGCTTGAGGCGGGCCATGGTGATTGCAATGTCATGGGGCTGCTGGCACAGTAGGTCATCGCCACACCCCGCGGCTAGATGCGGAAATGTGTTGAACTGCCTCGCTCGCGCCCAGAGAGCTCCCCCAGAGCTGCCCTTTCCCGACGTCGGCGTGGCTGGTGCCGTAATATACTCAGTGCGCCACCCCATGCCTCTGAGGTGCCGCTGCTCGTCCTCAAGCTGCTTGCCATACAGGTGGGTTTCCACAAGCCCCATGAAGTCGTATGGCGCGTCCCTGCAGAACTCACGGACGGCGTAGGACAAGTTACTGATGTTCGCATTGAAGACGCGCAGGTCGCGCGTCGCCAGGCGCTGGGAGCGTAGGTCAGGAACACTGCTGACTCGTGCCCTTGCCCTCGCCCACGCCCTTGGTGACTGCCATTTGAGCTGCACGTACACGGGTCTTCTCGTCCACGAACCGCTTGACTTCCTCTGCGTTCGTGAAGTCGTACTTGTTGGCTGTTGGCACTGGAGCAGCGGCTTCTTCGTTCTGGACGGCGTCAGTGGCTGCAGGGGCACCGCGGTGGTCTCCTTCGTCCTTCTTGCGCTTCTTGAGGGTGATGGTCTCGCGGTGCTTCTTGGCGGTGGCGACCGCATCACGAGCTTGCTCTCCAGTGCGGCGGTGGTTCTCCATGGCCTTCTTGGCCTTCTCGTGGATTGACTTCGCTTGATCATAGGCTGCGCGTTCTTCAGGGGCCAGGAGAGCCAGATCGCCTTCTTCCAGCACGGGGAAATCATCTTCGCCTTCCTCTGCGGTCGGAGTAGGTGGTGGAGGCTCTGCCCTACAGGTCCGAAGAAGAGTTGAAAGGCGTTCCACTTCAGCTGAAACCTGCTGGGTCTCGTCGATGTTTCTGGTGAGCTTCTCAACCAATTCGTCTTGCCAGGCCGCTGCTCGCTGGAGCTGGGACGTGAGGCGCTCTTGCTGGCCTTGGAGTCTGCGCAGGGTAGCGGCTGCGTCCTCCAGCTGCTTGATCGTGGGCTTGGCTGGTGGCTGACTGGGCGCTGGGGCGCTTGGGAACTTCTCTGCCAGCATTCGAGCTCCCTCCTCATCGCCTTTTTCTTTGAGGGCTTCCACTGCCTTCTGCATGGTGGCTGCGACGGCGGGGTCCACGGGCGCTGTGTCCAGCTGGAAGCGCACCACGGATCCTGGGCGTAGGAGAGAGGTCCAGTCGTAGATGCCACACTTGTTACATTTCTCCCGTCCTGGCTTGAGCGCCTGAGTCTTCCAAATCCAGCTGGTACCAGGAGGGCAATGAGGACAAACCAGATAGTCATTCTTGCGCCTGCTGGCTGGCGATTGTGAACGGGGCTTGCCCTTCGGGTCCTTGGACCTCGGGCGGACCATGTCGTAGCCGTTGTTCTGGCCGTACTCCAGCGTCCCCACGATGGAGCAGCTGGCCAGAGAGAAAGATGAATCCCAGGGATATCGCTGGCTCGGCAGAGCCACCCCTCAAGTCGGAACAAAAGTGTGCTGCACGCGGGCTTGCGCACAGCACCAGTTGTGGTGCCGACCCTGGGACTTTCGGTATGCAGAAGCGCGCTGGCGGACCTGCAAGCCGAAATATACTTGAGCGGAGGAGGAGGAGGAGGAGGAGGAGGAGGAGGAGGAGGAGGAGGGAGGACCTCTTGGGCCCTTGTTGGCCCATCTCGGGGCTGTCTTGAAGCCATCTTGGGCCCATTTTTTGGCAGGTCCTCGCGCTGTCAGGGGGTACGCCGCCCAGCCGCTTGAATAGTGTTTTCGACCATCGTCGACACCACCGGCGAGACATGGAAATTGTGGGCGGTGAGCGCGAAGCGTTTTGAATAAGAATGCTTGTGGGGACTCATGAGAACTGGGCTTGGGACGGGAATCTATGCGTGTTGCAACATCGTTGATGCATCCTGGGTTACTGTAGTCCTCCTCCTCCTCCTCCGCTCCACATCGCCCAAGTCCTCCACGTCCTTCTACTCGTCCCCCTCCTCCGTTTCCCATCTCCCCCTGCTCCACCAACACGCCTTCCTCTTCCCGCTCCTCTCCGAGCCCGAGCCCCCCCCCTCGCGCCTCCCCCCTCCCTCCCTCCTCCTCCTCCCGCTTCCCCCCCCGTGCCCCCTCGCCCATCCTCCAGCGCCAGCTCGGCTCAAGCGGCGGGCGGCTGCTGCTTGCGAGCCCGCGCCAGGATGCCCCTCCCCGCGCCTCTGCCTCCGAAGGAGGGGGAGAAGGCGGAGGAGGAGGAGGAGGAGGAGGCGGAGGAGGAGGAGGAGGAGGAGGAGGAGGAGGAGGAGGAGGAGGAAGAGAAGGCGGAGGAGGCGGAGGAGGAGGAGGAGGAGGAGGAGGAGGAGGGAGGAGGAGGAGGAGGAGGAGGAGGAGGAGGAGGAGGAGGAGGCGGAGGAGCCGCCTCCCCCCCCCCCGCCTCCCCGCCGCGGGATGGCGGCGCCGTGGCGCCCTGCGCGCCCTCGCGCACATGGCGGCCCGCGCGCCCTCGCCGCGCGGCCGCCGAGCGCCGCGCCCAGCCTGGGCGGGAGCAGGCGCGGGCTGTGCAGGCCGTGCTCCGCGCCTTGGGCGTCAGGTCGGGCACGTCCTCCTCCAGGCGGATTTCGGCAGACAAAGAAGCACTTGCCCGCAAAATCATCCGACGTGGTCCAAAAGGGCACGAGCATCGCCACCAGACTATTTGGGACGATTCCGGAGTATTCCTCTTGTGGAGGGACGCGCCCGACTTCATTTCGGTGCCTTGGAGCGCCGTGGCTGCCGGGCGTTGAAACTCGGTGCTGCCCTGGCCCGAGCTCCTCGTGCGGATGGTCCTGGTCACGCTGCTGCGCCTCCCGGCCTTCATGACGATGAGGGCAAGGACATGGGCCAGTTCAATACCAACCTTGGCACGTACAGGGGCATGGACAAGGCAGGCGCTGCTGTTGGTTCTGCACCTCCTGCTGCTCAAGGCAATCATCCTGAACGTGGTGCCCTTGTTGGCCTTGATAGTGGTGTTGCCTGTTTATAGTCGGCCCGATCCGCCTGTCGTGCTGGGCCCCAGCGCGCGTGTGGCTGCTGCTGATCGCGCTCCTCCTGGTGCTTTTGATCATGGCGCCGATCGTGATCCTTGGAGCGGTGGTCGTGACCCGTGGTCATCCGCTGCGCCTGCACGGAGGCATGCAAGTCTTCGTGAAGCCGCTGACGGTGCTGCTCACGCCGTGGGCGCAGAGCCTACGGCTCATCGTACTGCTCTGGCCGATCTCCGTGCTGCACGTTTCGGCGTGGCAGACATTGTCAGAAAGAGCATCAAGCTCAACCACATAACGTCCGGCAGGGGCGCAGGAGGTCATGTGCTCGGGGCTCCTGAGTGCCATGCCTGCGTGAGGGCGCGTCGGTCTGGCGCGCGCCGTGTCGCGCATGTGCGGCTGGCTTGCTGTGGCCCGCGAGGGACCGTGTTACCTCGCCATCGCTCGGACGTCCATTCCCTGTGTTTTTTTGGTTTCGTGCGTGGTTTCTTCGCCAAATGATACACGATGCTCCTCGATGGCCCTCGCCGAAGGAAAAATGCACACGTCCGAGCGATGCCAAGTTCTCGGTGAGCTGGGGTTTCTGGCATGTTCGTTGGGGCCCTGCGCCGCTGGGCGGCGCCGAGAGTCTGCCCTCTGACCTGCGTTGCTGGAAGACACCCAACCTTGCCTCTCGATGTGTGTCCACTCCGACCCTCGCCCGCCCTCCGACTTCCCCTCCTCCCCCTCCCCACACTTCTGCCTGCCTCTCCCTCCCAGCCCTCTTTTTCTTCGCTCTCTCTTCCTCCTCCGCCTCCTCCTCCTCCTTCCTCCTCCTCCTCCTCCTCTTCCTCCTCCTCCTCCTCCTCCTCTTCCTTCCTCCTCCTCCTCCTCCTCCTCCTCCTCCTCCTCCCTCCTCCTCCTCCTCCTCCTCCTCCTCCTCCTCCTCCTCCTCCTCCTCCTCCTCCTCCTCTGCCCCGTGAACATAGCGAAGCCGACCACGACGGCGATCACATCTGCCGCCGAGCGCGTCCGGCGGAGCGGCCGCCACGAGCACCGACAGGATGGAGATCAGGCCGCTCGTGGCGGGCTGGAGGCAGGTCTGGCGGGCGACGGCGACGGTGACGAGGACGACGGCTATGAGCGTCATGGCGAAGATGACGAGGAGAACGGCGACGAGGAGTACGCCGAGGGTGAGGACAACGACGAGAACGAGTAGGAGCAAAGGGAGAGGGCGACAACAAGGAACACGATGAAAAGGAGGACGATGACGACGAGACGTTAACCAAACAACTTAGTACGTTTGCCAGCGCGGACCCCACACATTGAGTTATTGCACTGCGGACGTGTAAGATATGTGGTGCAGTATGTGTGGTGCAAACAATATAGTACAACAGACTTCGTGCTACCATAGGACAAGCAAACAAAGAGCGAATGGGCCTTTCTGGCCACGGCGTGCTTTGGCCACGAGGAGCTTGCCCGAGCTAAATCTGAGGAACAGCTCGAAAACCAGAGACCCTCCTGAGCGTAGATCGGAGCAGGACGAATCGAGACAAAGCCTACTTAAGACCGGTCACCAACCCTGTCGCGGGGTCCAGATGCACCTATGAACCGAGCTGCGTCTGGCCGAAGCGAAAGGCCAACTACCCTTGTCTCAACTTGCCCTCCCCTGAGCAGAGTGGTTCTTATCTAGAAAAAGAAAAGACGCCATAAACATCAACCTTTGGCGCTCCGCGCGGATTTCTTGGATCCACGCTGGACCCCCCTCCCCGGCGCGCGCAGCGCGCCAGGGGCGGCGCCGGAGGCGCCGCCGGGGGGGCCCCAGCGCCGATCCAAGAATTCCACGCGGAGCGCCAAAAGTTTAAATGAATGCGCTTCTTCTTCTTCTTCGATTCTTTCTTCTTCTCGATGCCGCCTTTACTCTTACGTATTTTCAAAACGAGACGTCGCACATCTTCAAAACAAATCATGTTTTTTTATGCCGTTTTCCTTCTTCGATCATCTGAGCATCCTGACTGTATGCCGCTCTTCGTCCTTCGACGCCCCCCCCCCCAAAGCGGGTCCAGCAGCAGCATGAGCCCCAGCGCCGCCCAGAACGGCAGCAGCGGCGCCTCCCCCCCACGCTTGCCCGCGGGGCGCGCAGCGCGCGCGCGCGTCGTCGGTCGTCGGTCCCCGGTCGTCGTCGTCGCCGTCGTCGTCGCCGTCGCCGTCGTCGTCGTCGTCGTCGTCGCTGTCGTCGTCGTCATCGTCGTCGTCATCGTCGTCGTCGTCGTTGTCGTCTTTGTTGTCTTTGTCGTCGCCGTCGTCGTCGTTCTCGTTGTGGGTGTCTTTGTCGTCGTCGTCCTCACTTCTTCATGAATGTTTGGTATCCTCCTCGACTGCGTGCGACAAGGCCATCCTGAAACGGAAGCAGTCTGGCGTATTTCAGTTATACTGTAGAGATCGTAGACGGGTCGAAATTCGATGGGCAGCACGGGAGGTGTTACTCGGGGAGAAAACCAGCACGAGCGAGAAGCCAATAGTTGCCGACTTGCCTCATGGTAGACTAGCGCTGTACGCAGCCGTTTAACATACGAGAGCTCACATTTCTATCGTACTATGCGGGATCGTTCTTGGGATTTGTCTGGAACGCACACATGGAACAGATGAAATGGTAGACGCCTCGGGGAAAGCAGTTACAGCTAAAATCTTGTATTGCCCTTAGCCTTCGAGGCACATGTCGTTGCTCCTGGAGTTGCAAACATGGCTAGGCGTATGTCTATTTGGGACACCCCCACATCACTCAAACACTACCAACAACAACATATACTCATTCCTCTTGCCATGTTTTTCGCTCATCTTCACATACATGCAACTGCATCGCGAGAATCGGCATGTGAAGATTCTTGCCCGGCCCCTGCCGGCCCAACTAATGCGATTCGTTCCTGAGGCGGGTGATGAGTATGACCGTCTTGCATGTAGATTGTTTTGCACGCGCGTCTGGTCTTGCTTCTGGAACCCACACAGCGAGTCTGACAACCTGGGTTTGACTTACGATTGTTGTGTAGCTGCTGCACCATATCTAGCAAGCGGGGGAAACAACAATGGCACGGAAATGCACGAACACCGCGGCTGGCCTTGAGTGCGATGCACGTTCGTTTTCTATCAAGCACAGTGTCGCATCGTGCCGCGTAGATCACCGCCTCGCATGCCAGCGGAGGTATAGACGATGGCGCCAGTGCCAACTGGAACTGTTACACTTCGTGGTCGCATGTGTCGACGTGCGCAATCCGAACGTGTTGTCCAGGGGGCAGCACACAATACACAAACTTTGCCCGCCGACGCAGTCTTCCAACATGAAACAGGTTAGGGCGAACAACACGCCGAGGACTGATGATTGTTGGAGGCAGCTAACGAAACCAACCGTCCCCTACCTCAAGACAACGCTCCTTCACCCTGAACCTCATGCCCAGAACAATATCGACGTGCTTAAACATATTCCGAGAGGTACCCAACCCCCTCTCCACGCGTGGCGATTATTCATATGAAAGCTCGATACGAACAAGCGTTGTGATGCATGCAATGCTCTGAACTGCTTCGCCGAACAATGTCGGGCCACGCGCTTCGCACACCTGCGCAACTCAAATCGCAAAATGGACGGTGGCGACAAGCATGACACAGAACGTAGGACGGGGGACAGACATGGGAGGGAAAGGAAGAACCGCGAGGTCTAGTCTGGGTGCGTTAAGTCTCGCAGGGATCTGCGTGATAACCCACTCCTCTGGACCTCCAAGGTCTCCACAACAGCGGCGGCAGGTCCGCAGTCTGCAGACTTGCGAGGTCGCAGAAGTCGGTTTGACTGCTCTTAGGTCGGGCATGTCCTCCTACAGGCGGATTTGAGGATACATATACCACATAACCAACAAATGCTCAAGCATAGCCAAACGAGCACGAAACATCGTCATCCGACTTTTTATGATTCTCGAATCTTCCTCCTGGAGAAGGACATGCCCGACTTAAGACTGCTCGCTCCGCTGGACCTCCAAGGAGCCCACAAAAGCCACGACAGCTGCGCAGCCCTCCGAGGGAGCCTCGGGGTCTCGCCTCAAAATCTGTGCTGTCCTCATCTCCGCCGTGCCTCCCAGGCGCACACGAACGTGACGACAGTTTCCACGTTCGCAGCTTCCTCCTCCTCCTCCTCCTCCTTCTCCTCCTCCTGCCCCTCGTCCGCCTCCTTCTCCTCCTCCTCCTCCTCCTCCTCCTCTTCCTCCTCCCATTTCTCCTCCCATTTCTCCTCCTATTCCTCCTCCTCCTCCTCCTATTCCTCCTCCTCCTCCTCCTCCTCCTAGTCCTCCTCCTCCTTCTTTCTGCGCGCACGCGCCCGCCGATCCTCGTCGACCTGGGCCCCTTGGACGTCCGTCGCTGATTCCGTCGTCGCTGTCTGTCGCTGGCGATCGGCAGGGGGAGGGGGGTGGGTGGGCGTGGAGGATCGGAGGGCAGGGCAAGAGCAGCAGAGGAGAGGGGGGAGGAGAACGGGAGAGGGCAGCATCACCACCCTCACGCGCGAGGCCCTTGCGCAAACGAACCGAAGGAAGGAACCGAGCAGACCATGACTGTGTGGTACAAGCCCGGGGCTGCCCAGCAGACGCCAGGGTTGGCAGGGTCGTCGGGTGCTGTCTGCCCCCTGGGAGTGGAGAGGGGTGAGACCGCGAGGGAGGATGTGGGGAGAGGGAGGGAGGCGAGGAGGGGGGAGAGGAGGGGGAGGGGAGGAGAGGCGAGGGAGAGAGGAGAGGCGAGGGAGAGAGGAGAGGAGGGGGGAAGGCGGCGGCGAGGCGGACGGCTGCAGCACTGGGCCACTAGGCTCCTGGAGGGGCCGGCAGGTCTGCAAGACAAGGAGGGCGACGGGGAACCGCAGGGCCTCGAGAGCGGCCAGAGCGCCAGACGCCCCCCCTGAAGCCAAGGAGGAGGAGGAGGAGGAGGAGGAGGAGGAGGAGGAGGAGGAGGAGGAGGAGGACCAAGTCTCGACTTCTCTCGGCCCCCGCCCCGACGCCACCAGCGGGCCGAGCCCCGCGAGTGCGCGGGGAAGGGCGGCGCCGCGGAGGGGGGAATAAAAAAGGGAGCCGGGTGGGAAGACGACGGAAGAGAGCGGAGCATGCAGGAGCCATTGACGAAAAGGAAAACCACCGCTGCGGAGGGTGCCGCCGCCCCCTCCGATCCTCCTCCCCCTGCTCCTCCACCTCGGCCGTGTCCTCTGCCCCGTCCTCCTGCTCGTGCTCATCCTCGTGGTCGGTCGACAAATCTCGCCGTGCTCGCTACCGTCGCCGTCGCCGTCGTCGTCGTCGTCCTCGTCGTCGTCCCTGTCCTCCTGCCTCTGCTGCCGCCGCTCCCCTCTCTACTCCCTCTGCTCTCCTCGTCGCCCGCTCGTCCTCCTCCTCCTCCTCCTCCTCCTCTTCCTCCTCCTCCTCTTCCTCCTCCTCCTCCCTCCTCCTCCTCCGCCTCCGCCCCCGCCTCCTCCTCCTCCTCCTCCTCCTCCTCCCTCCTCCCTCCTCCTCCTCCTCCTCCCTCCTCCTCCTCCTCCTCCTCCTCCCTCCTCCTCCTCCTCCTCCTCCTCCTCCTCCTCCGATCCTCCTCTCCTCCTCTCTCCTCCACCTCCTCCTCCTCCCCCCCTTCTGCCTACCTTCCTCCTGTTTCCCCCGCCTCCTCCCACCTCCTCTCCTCCTTCCTCCTTTTCCCTCCCCCTCCTCCTCCTCGTTATCCTCTTCGTTCTCCTCCTCCTCCTCCTCCTCCTCCTCCTCCTCCCCACTCCTCCTCACTCCTCATCCCTCCTTTTCCGTCGACGAGGGCGCAAGTTGGGGCCGCGCACAAGGGGGTAGAGAGGGAAGGGGAAGGCCTCTTAGTAGGAGATAGAGAAGGCCCGTGCCGTCTAAGAAGCAGGGGTGCTTCCAAGAAGCCTTCCCCCTCTGCGCGTGGCCGACGGAAATTGGGGGCGCGCGCATGGGTGTGGCGCGCAGGGGGTGCACATTCTAAGAGGGCGCGGGCCTCTTTTCGAAGGCTGACAGGCCTCTCCAGGACGGCCCAAGGAGGCATCCACAGGAGAGCTTCTCGCACGCTGGCAGGGCCGTTCTGAGAGGGCGCCCTAAAGATCGTGCGATCGTTGCGCCTTGTGGCTAGGGACAAGTGAAGAGGCCGACTTAAGCCAGAGACGAACAAACTACGCCTGGCTGGCACAGCGGAATACAGGAAGGCGCGAAGGGCAAAGCAACGAGAGGGCGTCCCCCCTGCCTTCTCATCACATGTCGGGTAGAGGTAGGTGAAAGCATGAAGTGGGAAGGCGGGTCAAGTAGATTGGGTTCAGGCCTTCCCAGAGCATAACAAAGCACAGCATCAGCAGATCGATCCTTGGAGTAGAAGGCGCTTGAGGCAGATTGGGATCTGGGAGTCCAGAAACACCTCCTTTCAGCGACCGGCGTGCACCCCTCGTGCCTTCCAAGGAGATCCTCGAGGCCCAGGGGCCAGGGGCGCTGCTGAGGCCGCATCGTCCCTCAAAAGCCGCGGCGTCCCCCCAAACACCCCAGGCTCGACGGCGTCAATCATCCGTGACAAGAAATGCCGGCACAAGTCGCAGCGCCAAGGTGGTACCCAGGAGGCACCTGGCCGCCACGCGGCGGTGCAACGAGGGCCCCTGCGTCCGACGCGCCCCTCCTCGGCATGAGAGAAGCGGGCTCGCTGAGGGCTCAACGCCTTCTGCCGTCTCTCGACGCGCGCTGGAGTGGCCGCGATTTGCTCTTAGCATTCCCTGTAGTTCTCTGCTGGCTTTGCCCTGATTTGCCTCGAGTTCTCCGCATTTGCCCTCGGTTTCTCTGGCTGGATCCCCACACGTCGACTGGCGAAAAGTCGTCAAGCCGTTAGGTCCTGGACTCGTAGAGGCCTCAGGGTTGGGGTCGGAGTAGATGGGGTCGGAGGATCGACCGCATCGGCGATACATCGGCGATGCATCGGCGATGTATTGGCGATGTATCGGCGACGTCGGCGATGCGTCGGCGACGTCTGCGTGAAGAAAATCGGGCTCCGCATCGAGCCGCATCGGCGATGCGGCGCGATCCTCCGACCCCATCTACTCCGACCCCATCTTGGAGGCCTCGAATTCAGGGGCTTTTCCCTGGGACAAATTTGCACTCCGAGCCGCCGCTTGACGGACCCCAGGTCTCGCGGAGGGCCCAGGGAGGCGAACGACAGTACAAACAAAAAACTCTGGGGCCCATTCCCCTCGGGACCCCTTGCCTTCATGGAGTCCTCCTCCTCCTCCTCCTCCTCCTCCTCTTCCTCCAGTCCTTCTCCGTATAGATAACTCCTCCCTGTCGCACCCCGAGGCCAGTTTTTAGGGCGGGCCGGGCGTTTCGCCTGAGACTTCCTCACCTTTTATGATTCTGAAGCTTTAAAATTGACAATGGTTTCACAGATGGCGGGCCGCTTTCAAAATGTGGCTCCCGCCTTAGCGCACATTCGTTTCAAATATTTGCAAGAGTTTCACGGATTGGGGCCGGGTGGTTTTCAAAATGTGGCTCTTGCCTCAGCGCCGCGCACACTCGTCTTAAAACTTTGCAGGAGCTTCACGGATCGAGGGCGGGTCGTTTTCAACATGTGGCTCTCGCCTCAGCGCCGCGCACTGTTTCTGGAACAAAGGCAAACATTTCACGGATTGAGAGCGGGTCGTTTTCAAAATGTGGCTCTCGCTTTGGCGCCGCGCACATTCGTCTTAAAACTTTGCAGGAGCTTCACGGATTGAGGGCTGGCCGTTTTCAAAATTTGGCTCTTGCCTTAGCACCGCGCACACTTGCTTTAAACATTTGCAAGAGTTTCACGGATTGAGGGCGGTTCCTTTTCGAAATGTGGCTCTCGCCTTAGCGCCACGCACATTCGGTTTAACACTTTGCAAGAGTTTCACGGCTTCCCATGATCAGCGTACCAGAAATGGTATTTTGGAAGGATTCAGGACTATGCGGGCGCAGCAGTTATGTTGATTCGCTGTGTTGAAGTCCCAAAACTGGCGTTCTGACACGGTTCTGGATCGTCGAGATGCAGCAGTCACGTTGATACGTGGCGTTGCAATCCCGAGAACAGTGTTTTGGCACGCTTCAGGCTCTTCAAACTGTTGCCTTGCAACGAGGCAGTTCCCTCAATGCAGATGAAACGTTGCAGGGGCCTATGAAGAGGGAGCATTGGGGGGGGGAATTCCGACATCGTTCATGACTCTTGGGTTTCCACTGGTCCTCCTTCTTCTCCTCCTCCTCCTGCTCCTGCTCCTGCTCCTGCTCCTCCTCCTCCTCCTCCTCCTCATATTCCTCCCCCTCCTCCTCCTCCTCCTTCTTTCCTCCTCATCCGCCTCCTCCTCCTTCTCTTCCCCCCTCTTCCTCTTCCTCCTCTGCCTCTCCTTCTTTCTCCTCCTCCTCCTCTTCCTCCTCCCTCGTCCCCGTCTGGCGGCCAGCCGAGGGGCGGCGCCATGCTCATGGTGTCGGCCCACCGGATCGCGGGGCAGCAGAAGGCCATGAGGCAGATGGGCCAGTCCTGGCGCCGCGGGTCATTGCCGTCGTTGCCGTCGTCGCCGTCGTCGTCGTCGTCGTCGTCGTCGTCGTCGTGGTGGTCGTCGTTGTCGTCGTCCTGGTGGTGGTCGTGGCTGTCGTGGGGGTCGTTTCAACCTTTCGAAGGTAGTGAGAAGGGATAGGGGACATGTAGCGGAGACACACGGGAGGAATGCATGGATGGGGTGAAGAGGGGGGGATGGATGGGAGAATGGGGGGGAAGGAGAGTGAGATGTCGAAGGCTTGACGGCTCTTCTTCATTGCCTTGTAGGAATAGAGCCAGATGCGTCGATGTAGGTCGACGTAACCCGACGTACTTTCAAACAACTACAGGTCAACCCACACATCTCCAGAGAAATCGTGGAAGCTCCAGGGCGAGTCGCTGAACCGCAAAAATCATTGAACCCTTAGCGAGTGAGGGAAGACATGGGAGGACAAAGGGAGAGGGGCGATGAATCGAAGATGGGTGGGTAGGGGGATGCGGATTGGAGGGAAGGAGGGAAGGAAGCAAGGAGGATAAGGATGGAATCGTCCCTCAATGCTCACCGTCCTCCGTCCCCATCCCTCTCTGTCCTCCTCCTCCTCCTCCTCCTCCTCCTCCTCCTCCTCCTCTCCTCCTCTTTCGACTCCTCGCTTCCCCATCCTCACATGCCCCTCGTCCACATCCTCTCCTCCGCATCCTGCCCGACTCGTCTCCTGATCCTCCCGCTTCTCTCTCTCTTCCCCCCCCCCCCCCGGGGGAAGAGGAGAGGGAACCTTCGGCGGCCTCCGAACCCTCCCCCTGGCGACCGACAGCCCAAGCCTGGGCGCAGGAGGGGGAAGCGTTTGGCAGGAGGGGCAGGGGGGGAGGAGAAGGCAGGACGAGGTAGGAGGGGGTAGGATGGGGCAGGGGGGGGATAGGAGGGGGAGGAGGGGGCAGGAGAGGAGAGGCAAGGGGGGGGGGGCATAGGAGGGGGTAGGCGGGGCAGGGGGCAGGAGGAGGCAGGAGGGCAGGCAGGAAGGGTGAGCAGGAGAAGGCAGGCGGCAGGAGGGGGGGAAGGGGGGCAGGGGGCGGGAGGAGGCGGGAGGCAGGGGGGGGGGGGAGGAGGCAGGAGAGGGGGAGGGGGGGGGGCCCGAGGAGCGGAGGGCGAAGGCACTGGGGGGGAGGCCGCCCCCCCCCCCAGGGGGCAGCAGCTCGACCGCGGCCCCCTGCCCCCGGCAGGGCTCGAGCTGAGCAGTGTGTGTGTGTGTGTGTGTGTCTGTCTGTCTGTCTGTCTGTCTGTCTGTCTGTCTGTCTGTCTGTCTGTCTGTCTGTCTGTCTGTGTGTGTGTGTGTGTGTGTGTGTGTGTGCGCGTTCGTTCTCGTTCTGTGCTCGTTCTCCTTCGCTCTGCTCTTTTTCTGTTCTGCCTTTTGTTGCTGCGGCACGAAATCAGAACGAAAACGGTCCACGAAATCGCCCAAGCACTAGGTCGGGCGTGTCCTACTACAGGCGGATTTGGGAAGAAACTTGAATACAGAGCCAACAAGTGATCAAGTATTTGTTGAAACACAATCGAAAAATCGTCCCCAGACTATTTTCTGATTATTTATCCATATTCCTCCTGGAGAGGGACACGCCCCCGGCAGGGCTCGAGCTGAACAGTGTGTGTGTGTGTGTGTGTGTGTGTGTGTCTGTGTGTGTGTGTGTGCGTGTGCGTGTGCGTGTGCGTGTGCGTGTGTGTGTGTGCGTGTGTGTGTGTGTGTGTGTGTGTGTGTGTGTGTGTGTGTGTGTGTGTGTGTGTGTGTGTGTGTTCGTTCTCGTTCTGTGCTCGTTCTCCTTCGCTCTGTCTTTTCTCTTGTTCTGCCCTTTGGCTGCGACGCGAGATCGGAGCGACAATGGCCCACGACATCGCCCCCCGAACACCGTCTAGGCTCGAGCCCTGGTCCTCGGCGTGCAGGGAGCGGGTGCGCCCTCCCCGCCTCGCGCTCGCGGCAGCGCGGGAGCCCCAGCCTCGGCCGGCGACATCCCCTCTGCAGCTCTGTGCCAGAGCTCAACGGTTAGGTCGGGCATGCCCCCCTGCATCTTGGAGGACACGTGCAAATGATACCGGAGAAAAGCACCAACCAGAATTTTGCTAGGGCTATAGGGCTATTGGGCTCTAGCTATGGGGCTATGGGGCTATAGGGCTATAGGGCTACAGGGCTATAAGGATATAGGGCTATAGGGCTATAGGGCTGTTGGGCTATAGGGCTGTAGGGCTATAGGGCTATAGTGCTATTGGGGCCCCACATTCGGCTACTAGGGCAATGAGGCTATTGGGCGATAGAACTATTAAGGCTATAGGGCTATAGGGTAGGGCTAGCAAGCTATAGGGCTACAGGGCTACCGGGGCACCCGGGCACCCAAGCACCCGGGCACCTGGGCATCCGGGCACCCCCGGGGCAACCCCGGGGCACTCAGGGGCAGCCGGGCAGCCAGGCAGCCGGGCAGCCGGGCAGCCAGGCAGCCGGGCAGCCAGGCAGCCGGGCAGCCGGGCAGCCGGGCAGCCGGGCAGCCAGGCAGCCGGGCAGCCAGGCAGCCGGGCAGCCGGGCAGCCGGGCAGCCGGCCCGACCACCGAAATCGGTGGCACAGCGCACCTAACCACATGAATCTGCTAGGACCCCTACAGAGGCAAGCTCCGATTGGGGAAATACTAGAAAAATGGCAAAACATAGTTTACAAAAAAACTCGTCCGCATATTTTTTTTTTTGTGTGTGTGTGTGTGACTATTTTTGAACATTCCTCCTGTAGAGGGACATGCCCGACTTAACTCAACGGGGAAGAACATGTGCTGTTTTGTGTGTCGGCCTCGCTTGGGCCGCGGGGCCCTCCACGGGCTGCGGGCTCGCTGCCGTGCGAGAGCCTCAACCTCGACCGGCGATAGGGTCTGCAGCTCCGCGCCGGAGCTCAGCAGGAAAAATCATACAGGGAAACACACTCTATACGCCGACGCTTTTCCCGACCCTGCGCTGAAGTTCGCACAGGAACGCGGATTTTGGTGTATACGGGATCCTGGTGTGTACATTTTTCGTTGTTTCCTTTGGAAAGCAAGGGAAAAATATACACCACACCACCCCGACGTCGTCCCCGACCCTAAAAAAAAACGAGGGATTGAAAAAACAACCCGCCACTGGTAATGTACATGTTCCAGTCTCCGACCATGCACCTTTTGTGTCCGCCTCGCTTGGGCCGCGGGGCCCTCCACGGGCCCCGGGGACCGTTCAACAACGACTCGGGGCGAGACGCTGGGCCTGGGGATCCCCGAGGAGGAGGAGGAGGAGGAGGAGGAGGAGGAGGAGGAGGAGGAGGAGGAGGAGGGGGAGGAGGGGGAGGAGGAGGAGGAGGGGGCACGTCTCCCAGTCGTCCTCGCAAGCGGGCCGCTTCGCTGGCGGGCGGTCGGACCCTGACGGAAAGGGGCGGGCGGGCGGACCCGAGCGGGCCGGTCGAGCGGGCGAGCCCAGACTAACGGGCTGATCGGGCGGCCAGGTCATCGCACAGGGCGGGCGGGCTGCTAGGGAGCAGGCGGACCCGAACCTGACGGGCGGGCCAACCCGAACGGGCTGGGCGGGCGTGCGGGCTGGTGGGATCGCAGGCCAGCGAGAAGGCGAAGCCGACCGCGGCGAAGCCGGCCGCTGGCGACACCGACGGTGTGCGGGAGCGACCGCCGGCGGAGCTGGCCGGCCCCCCCCCCCCGGGCGCGCGGTTCTGCCTGTTCGGTGCCCCGTGACTGGGGGAAGGAATCGGCAAGGAACTGTTTTTGCCTCCAAGTCCAAGGCGGTGTCTCCTGCGCTGGCAACATATGCCTCGTGTGGGGTGCCTCATGGAGCTGCAGGCCGGCCTGGCCAGGTCCGTGGCGACCCAGGAATGGCCGCCAGGAGCACTGGACAGGCGCAACCCCCCCGAAGGGAAGCGGATTGCAGCAGGCACGGAAAAAACATAAGGGTGCGGGGGGTGGGAGCGCTAGACCCCGACCCTTGGAACAGGGCGCCTGCGCGCGAGCCGAATCCAGCAAAACGCACGAGGGGCCCGAAAGGGAGACGAACCGAATCCCGCGAACCCGCAGAAGCCCTTTTCCCGAGCGCACAGCCCCCTAAGAAAGGACGCCTTCTGCCTGTTCGGTGCCCCGTGACTGGGGGAAGGAATCGGTAAGGAACTGTTTTTGCCTCCAAGTCCAAGGCGGTGTCTCCTGCGCTGGCAACATATGCCTCGTGTGGGGTGCCTCATGGAGCTGCAGGCCGGCCTGGCCAGGTCCGTGGCGACCCAGGAATGGCCGCCAGGAGCACTGGACAGGCGCAACCCCGAGGAGGCGAGTTTTTACAAGCTCCCAGTGAGGCGCCTCCACAGAGGCATAGGTGAAACACGCGTATGATGATGAGTGGTGGCTGGGACCGCCACGCCACTCGAAGCTGTAGACACGGCGCGTAACAGCTGATCGCACCGTTCTGAATCTGAGAAACGAGCGTAAAATGCTCGCATGGTTTCAGGGGCCGACCAGCCGCCCTGAGCCTGCACCAACTCTTCCGGCAAGCAGCACACTGTCTTGTACCAGTGAGCACCGCCTTTTCGCAGTGAGTGTGTCCCCACTGCGGCGGTCTGAAAGAACTGCGAAAGATTTCGGCGGAAGGAGTCGCAATTCATGGGGCGGGGTTCCGCCAAATGAGTCGTGCAAAACACGGGCGCATCCGGGTCGGAACCCCAGCGTGAGTCCCGCTGCACCAGCCAATCCCGCAGGACGCGGCATGGGCAAAAGCTGGGGGTGTCGACCATCTTTGGGATGTGGCACACCATGCCATGTCCGAAAGGGTCGTTCTTTTGCCGGGCGACAAAAATAGACACGAAATTGTCGTGCAAAGATATGTCTCGACGCCGGAGCGCGAGAGTCTCGGAACACCTCCGGGCGCCGAAGAAAGACACGGCTGCTATAGCGACGTCCCGGATAGCGGCCAGGCTGCCTGCTTTGAGGCGTGCGGTCTGGTAACACCGCAAT